GTGTCAGGTTTCCAAGGTTCTGCCGACTCTGCCGAGAGTGTCCCTTGGTTAAGGTTGACCTTTGATGAGATGCATAGCTTACCTTTATACTGAAACTCTCTGGTGCACCCGTTCTGAATGTTATCAACCCAATAAACGGCCATTATCAGTTGATATCACTACCATTATAATGCTTCAGATGGGGAAAATTGCACGTACCAGCAGGCCAGATGGTGTGTATCATGTATTATTTTCACTGAAAAACAAGTAAGTAACCCAGATGTACTCCCACTGCTGGATCCACCACTAGTTGTGCAAGTACATTGGCAGAAGCAGTCTTTCTGTCACACTCTACTGCATGAGTCGTCAGGTAAGACGAATGAGAGTGATATTGGCAGTTATATTTAAACTTTAAACATTATTTAGGTAAAATTACTGCTTTATAATTTCACTATCTCAGCCATCTGTGGAATACAATATTTAACTTAGGCTAGATATTTAACATTGAAAACAGCTGACCAATTATAGCTGTCACGTATATGCCTTAAATGCATTCAGTTTGTTGGAGAGCAGTTTATTTTAGCTAGTAGATGATGTTATGTATTTAACTATTAGTGACACAACCATAAGAGACAGAGATAACTCACAAGTATAAGAGTTAAAATGTAATAACTAAATTAACCAATTCACTTATATCGACATAGACACAAAATAAAGAGCGCTAGCAGCTAGTGTTGAGAGTGAGAGTGAGAGTTTTAATGATTTCACTGCATAAATCAAGAGAAACTATTGTGACCGCGTGCATGCAAAGAACACAAATGCCACTGTCGAGATCCAATGTTTTGTTTGTTGGTTCTGGGCTACAGTAGAAACATGGCAGGCTCATTCTAAGGCACTGTTCTTATTTTCAGATGAGTAATAGATCCTACTAGATGTTACAGATCCTACTAGATGTTACAGATGTTACATGTTACTTAATTAAACATTATATTAACATGTAAAATAACTATCAACATATATAGCCAAACTCCCATCTACATACATCCACACATAGTCACGAATGGGTCCAACCTTTCTGATTCTCCCCCGAATATATAACTATCTGTGACATGTATATCACCTACAGATGTATGTGCGCATCATTTCAATGATCTTCGTGTTTTTATTGCAGCAGGACAGTCAGTTGAGAGTGAAAGAAAACCTTTATGACACATCTTTCACTTATTTATTTGGGTTATAACAGAATTTCTGTTGCAAACTTGAAACCCAGTTGAAGAAACATGCTGCACTCAGAATGCATACTTTGAGCCATATGTGCGTTTTGTCCAAATCCAACCAGGTCAATAGGCTACTTTGCTCTCCCGTGGTGAGTAACATTGTGTGGAGGATCCATAATGTTATTCTGCTGGTTATTCTCTACACTGCACAGTTTTGACTGTTTCTACTGGCCTCTCAGCCAGATCTTAGTTTTGAAAAAATTATTTTAAATCTCAGTAAAATAGCATTTTGCCAACATGAATTTGACAATTCTGTAAAAAACACCTCTTGGTATCCAGAAATAAACAAGCTTTTTATTCACTTTAAGCTCCAGTGTGTACCGTTTAGAAGGTTCCATGGGCAGAAATTAAATATAATATTCAGTTAATGCCATAACAGTGACTTTAGTAGTTAAAATGTTAATGTTAATATTAACTCTTAGATCAAGATATACAACATACTTTGAATTCTATTTATTTGTGTTGTACAGTACAGTATTAGTTTGACAGTTTTGACAATTGTATGGTCCCGCCCTTGTTATATGTCTTTATGTTTTCAGGTGATGATACACTTATGAAAACACGCCTGTGAATATAATATACTATTTCTGCAAAAGGATCCTCCTACATGTTGCACACTGGACCTTGTGCTAATCAAAACCATTAAATGCTTAAAATCTACAATTCAGTTCCTGGCTTATGGCCATGCCTATTGATTTCTGATTTCTCTGATGCTTAAGGGACTGTAGATTTCTATCTCAATGATCTTTCCAGTGACCTGCAGTTTTTTTAATGCATAAAGCGATGAAGTTGCAAGAGCAACAGCTCATAGTTCAACTGGTTTATTCTTCTGTAAAATAGGCTTGCCATTTTTTTTTAAGGACAATAGTTTGGCATTTAATAACTTGGAACCCACAACCATAATCTTCCTCTCAAATGGATCACACAAAAGTGGTTGGGTGTCTATGAAACACTACTTTGTGGTAGCAAGGGTTTATGTTTCTATAACTTTAGTCATTATGCTCTTTTGGAATATGTCTGAAGGCAATTAAGATAAACGACTAAATTAAGATAAAAACAGCCAGCTCAGTATAGGCTATGATCCATAGTTTGAAAGGAGAATATACTGTAAATGTCAGGCCAGCGCACACAGGTGGGCAAAGAGGACGGAGGCAGGATAAACTGAAGATACTAGCTATGATAGGCTGGCTCCATCTGTGGCTGCCAGACAGGCTTTAACAAAAGCAGCTCCAGTATTGGTTGACCAGCTGACATTTTTCCTTCGCCTCTCCTGCTGGTGTGGGAACGCTTTGTGACAGGTGGTCTAAGATGACTGCTGATGCCTTCATGGCCACTAAACGTCAGGCTGACTGCCTGTGCAGCTACCATGTGGGAGTTGTGATAAGAAAATGAAGATCAAAGAAATGCGGTCCACATTAATGTGCACACACACTCCTAGACAGATGCACACATCTGCCCACATTACAAAACATCCCCATTAAGCTCACAAGATTCAACCAACCACACACAACACTAAACTGCAAAAAACAACATGTGTGTTTACTGTGTCAATAGATTGGGAATAGATGGATAATTCATCTTGTAATATGCTGTTGTTGACTATAAGCAAACATGCTCATTAAGTGGGAGGAAAAAGAAACAACAGAGTTTCATTCAAACTAATTAAAATGACCTGTGTTTAAAGAAAAAAAATGTGGTTTTCATTTAACCAAGAAAAAAAAAGTACTAGTTGCCTATATTTAAAGCTGTACCAATAAATATTTTAATACTAACAATGTGTCAAATGACTGTATAATGTAAAAGTTGTCACTCACAGTGATAAACACACAGAGTTATTACAGATATTTTTCCTTCAGAGCATTATTTTGGTTTTACGCCCCACAACTTGACAGTTTTAATTAAGTTTTAGTCCCACCATTCTCATTAGAGGCCACAGTAGACAGCTGTTTTAGAAAAAATGTACACTGATAAAAGACGCTGCCTGTCCAGCATCAAATGGCAGACAAAAACACTGTAAAAATGCCTTCATCAGACAATTTGCTTCTTCTGCCCTGAGACACACAATGTTAGCAACTAGCTGGAGAATATAGTGAGGTATTTAGCAGCTACATGGCAAAGATTTCTCTCTCAGCAGTAGGTGTAGAACAACTTCTTATTAAATGATCTATGACAGATGGAGAAGCGTCTTAGAAATAAACCAAGCAACCAGCCAAAAATGACAGGAAAAATGTAAAAAAAAACACTGTTGACCAGTTCGAAGTGAAATGTAAGATATACGAGTGGAAATGTTACAGTTTGACTGGCCTGCCTGCATAAACTCTGAGCCAACTGTTTTAGACCATTTTTTGTTTTGAACAAACCAAATAAAATGTCATTGTAATCAGGATCAAAGGAGAGCAGGACCACGTGGCTTCACTGATTGAAGCAATGTGACAATATGACACTGATTTATTCTGTATTGTTAATTTTCCCTTTAGAAGGAGAGAAAAGAGCACTGCTTAATCTCCCTGCACTCCAGGTCAGCATTAAAGGAATATGTTTCTGGGTTAATGATGATTAAGTGTTCACTGGTTGGAAACGGATACTCTCAGTTCACCGTTCACTGAAAACAATCAACAAACAAGCTTTTTAGCACATTCATGCACAACATGCATTTCTAGAAGATATTGTCATGTGTTTCTTTTGAAACCGTCAATGCATTGTTTTCATTGTGTTTCATCATATTCTATTCTATGGATTTTTATGTCACATCAAAGAAGAAGTAAGCTTCACTGTTCAGATAACAGACAGCATACAAGATGAGAATCACATACAAATTATCAGCATAGGAGAAAAATTAAGTAAAGCTTGTTAAACAATCTGCTGTGCTTAACAGTTCTTTTCAAATATAATTATTGTTAATTAAAAAAATTCAAAACACACACAACAAATAAGTCTATAGATCTTAAGGCCATCTGGGATTTAATTTTCAATTCAATTTTATTTGTATAGCGCTAATTCATAACAGAAGTTATCTCAGGACACTTTTTAACTAGAGCAGATCTAGACCGAACTCCTTATAAAATTATTTACAGAGACCCAACAGTTCCCACCATGAGCAAGCACTTGGAGATGGCGGCAAGGAATAACTTCCTTTTAAGAGGCAGAAACCTCGGACAGACCCCGGCCCTAGATGGGTGGTCGTCTGCCTCCACCATTTGGGGTGAAAGAGAGAGAGAGAGAGACAGAGAGACAGAGAGAGAGAACAGAGGTAACGACAGAAGGACAGAGACAGAGACAAAGGTGCACACTAACAACAGTTGCAACAACTACACTAATAGTAGTAACTGATGATGATGATGATAATGAACATGAAGAAGATGATGACAACGATGATAACAATGATGGGGGACAATGAGCAGTGCGTATAGTGATAATAGTATCTGTGGTAATAATAATAGTAATAATAATATCAGTAATATTAGCAATTGGAGTCAAGCAGGACCATGGCAGGAGGCTCCACCAAGCTCCATGAGAACCTGCGAGACGAGAAAGCACAAGAACTCTGAAGTTAGTAACATGCATTAATGGGACATGAATGAGTGCAGAAAGAGAGGGAGAGGAAGAGAGGAGCTCAGTGCATCATGGGAAATCCCCCGGTAGTCTAGGCCTATAGCAGCATAACTACGGGATGGTTCAGGACTCACCTGAGCCGGTCCGCCCTGTACGCACACTACGCACACTGCTTAGGGCCCCACCCCACCCCTCGGGCAGGTGTCAATGTTTACAACTTTGATGAGAGGATGAACGAACTATCCGTCAGAAAAAAACAACAACCACAAAAGAGAATTGTGGGAACAGGAATCAGGTAAACTTTTGCTTGTCTCTCCAGGTTTAATGTCTCACTAACAGCTGGCAGTGCAGCTCTTGGTCTGTCTGTCTCTCTGTCTGTCTCACTAACAGCTGGCAGTGCAGCTCTTGGTCTCTCTGTCTCTTTGTCTGTCTCACTAACAGCTGGCAGTGCAGCTCTTGGTCTCTCTGTCTCTCTGTCTGTCTCACTAACAGCTGGCAGTGCAGCTCTTGGTCTCTCTGTCTCTTTGTCTGTCTCACTAACAGCTGGCAGTGCAGCTCTTGGTCTCTCTGTCTCTTTGTCTGTCTCACTAACAGCTGGCAGTGCAGCTCTTGGTCTCTCTGTCTCTCTGTCTGTCTCACTAACAGCTGGCAGTGCAGCTCTTGGTCTCTCTGTCTCTTTGTCTGTCTCACTAACAGCTGGCAGTGCAGCTCTTGGTCTCTCTGTCTCTTTGTCTGTCTCACTAACAGCTGGCAGTGCAGCTCTTGGTCTCTCTGTGTCTTCCAGGTCTGTTCTGTGACTTTGTTCCTGACAACATTGAGAGTGAAATAAACGATATATTACATCTGATAAACGTCAACAGGCTGCAGTATTTATGATCGGAAAAGAAGTGATGCGTTCATATGCCCGTGTATGAAATGAAACTCTCACGCTCTCCAACAGCAGTCTAGACAATATGGGCATGAGGGCTCTCCTCACAGACACACATCATTTTTAAATAAGATAATAATTATCTACTCTCTCAGTAAAGGTTTAGTTAACTCTAATCCAAATGTAAAGCAATGGATTGACATTGACTATTGATTAAATGTTGGATTTAAATTGTTGATTAGCTGGGCATATGGATGCAGATATATCAGTAAATAATAACCATCAAGTATTCAGCCAATAGTACTTTCTTACAGGTGAGCCCATTTTGAATGGACCTGATGCAGCCAGAGCCTATGGGCTTCTCTTTACATTGTATAGACAAAGCTAATTCTCAGTTTTTATTATTTTCATTATTTTCTACATTTATATTTTCTACAATGTGAATGTTAAGATTCTATTGAAAATATTCTATAGAATAAATATTTGTTTATAAATCACTCTGTTCTGTATAGATTTACTAATTCTTAGACCGACAGAGGGAGACAAATTGTAGTGGGGCCGCTGGGATGTCAGGTGTAACTGTATGGCAATGGTAAATAGTTGCACATACATGTTTTATGGGTTAGGTAAGAGGGCCCTCTAGCAGGACAGGACAGGACAGGACAGGACCAGCTCTGTTTAGTAGACAGAGGTATGAAGGATCCATGTCCAGACTTTTCTAATTGAAATAATAAATGACTTCAGATATCTTTGGACGTTTAAAAAAGTTAACCTCACAAGAGTTTAGAAACGTGAGTTATGTTAAATATGTTAGAATTCAAACATACTACCAAAATAGCAGTCAGACTTTTATGTTGAAATTTGGTAACAGAAGTTACTTATTATTTTAAATCTTACTTGACAATAGTCTTAGCGTGAGCTTTATTAATACATACATTTGCGAAGAAAAAACACATTTATTTTAATGTGGTGTGTATTTGCTCGCATTCAGAGTCGTTAAATCGCGTCTAATTTGCATCCAACAGTCTTTAACATCGAAATTAGACACCGGAAGTTATATTTTTGCTGATTTACACTCGCTTGATATTAATGCTAGACATAAAAATGTTGTATGCTGTGAAAAGAGCTGATCAATTATGTGACGAATTTAACTTAAAAACAACGCATTATAATATATACGTTATATACGTTATTTGTATTACTGCCAAAACCTACATCCTTAAACTGTATTAGTGTTACTTGTATTTTGAAAAATCTCACCGGACATCGACATTTTTACGGTCCCATAAGTCTGTAGTTCAGTGTCTTGTCAGCAGCGGACCCACGACGTAACGTAACGTGTTACCCATTATTGCCCTGGTGTTTTTATACAGCCTGAGGTAGGTGTGCTGGCATGTGAATAATATGTGTCCGTCATTATTCACCCTTAGGACTGTTATTCATGTAGCTGCAGCCAGTGTACCGTTATCTCATTGAATCATTGAATACAAGAGCGTCTCATACCAAACAGTTCACGTGGATCAACTCAAAATGAAGGAAAACTTGCTGTTTCTACGGACTCAGTATGTTACAGTTACTATGTGTGAACACTTACACTGTCACTGGGTGTATGAAAGACACCGTCCTTAGCGGTGTGTGTAATATAGTGAGGTATGTCTGTGCAGTTTATGGCGACCTTTTGTTTAATCTCGCGTAGTAATACTGGAAGAGTACGGCTTTGATTTGGCTCACAGCATGTAGACTTTGCTAGAGGACACTGCAAATAATACAGAAATAATCATCAGTGCATGTGAAAAACATCTCAACTCAAACTTTATAGGATGTTTGGTTGCGCCCAAGTTTATTTTTTCGTTTATTTTTTAATGTTTAGTAGGCCTGTATAAGATCTAAGGGAACACGAATGCTCATTGCAGACTTTCAGGGTCCAAGATGTCATCTTTATTTTGTCAAAACAACATCAAAACAAGCAAATAAGTCTACATAGAAAATTATTTATTTATTTTCTTCTTCATGATCAGGTTTTAATGATACCAGACAAAGAAAAACAACCAAATACACAAACATGCTGCAAATTTACCAGCCACTTCAGTAATATTAGGAAGGTATTTAAGTGACCATTAAATAGGTAGGAACAAACTAAAATAAGAAAATCAGAATCATATGATAATAAACAAACAATCAATAATAGTTATGAAATTAAAAATAGCTCCTGAAATACAACACAAATGATCAGAAATTTACCAAAAGCTACTATGACACTTTTATAGATGTCTGCAAGCAAAATCCTTTAAATCTGATTTGCATGTTGTTTTCATGCAGCAATAATGTCAGTGAAGCATGCCAAGCCTAACTTCAGCCAGTCTCAGGTGGCTGAGATTGTGAAGAGGCTGTTCAGACTGACAGCATCCGAAATTCGCTCGCTGCCGAGCTACGATGACCAGAACTTCTACGTGGCGGCCATGGAGGGTGGCGAGTACGTCCTGAAGATAATGAACTCAGAGGACAGTAAGAACCCCGCGCTGATCGAGGTGCAGACGTATGCCATGTCCTTCCTGCACCAGAATGGACTTCCTGCCCAAACAGCTTTGCCCACCACCTCAGGGAAGCTCTTGAGCTTGGAAGAAATGGGTATGAGACCAGTCCTGCAGTTCAGACCTGAGGAATAATGCCATCTTATGCCTCTAAGTTTGCTGAAAAGATAGATGTAGATGTCATACGCCATTTTCAGAAAATTGCATCCACATTTGGAGCACGTTTGAAGTCAGAGTTTGTCATCAGTTATATATAAATTCAATTAATTCCGTCTTAACGGACATCCAAATGTCACCATTCACCCATTAATTACTTATAAAATAACATTAACAGCTTTTACGCTCCAATATAAATGAGTTTTTTGTCTCTTACTGTGGCATTAGAATTAGTAATGAAATTGTGAATCATCACTTTCATAATGTTCATTATTCAAGTTCATAGTGTTTTAGAAACAGAAGTGCTGCTGTTAGGATTTAATTGAATGTATTCCTCCCTATTCCTGTACAGTAGTGATATTCACCAACCCTTTAGGGCTAAATTCCATTCCTGTAGTGCCTCCCACCCAAGAATTTATTCACAGAGGTTTCTGGGAGCATCATCATGTATGTCCGTAAGTGTGTGTGAATACGCTCAGTAGTTGAAATTGGCCCTGGGCTAGTTGCTGTTTCAGTAAGCTAAGAAAGATAAGTGATGAGCTACGCTGTTGGAACTTGTCCAGTGGAGGAGGTAGACTAACATATTCTGCCTCAAGACAAAAAATAAAAAAAATAACATTTGTAGTTTTAATCTTAAGCAATACAACAGACCATGGCAGGTTCATATCCACCGTAATATGAATACTCAAGCTGTTTAGTAATGATAAGTGGGCCCTTGAGCAAGGCCACAACATACGGGTCATGCTTTATGAGGGCTAAGATCGAGGTAAATGGCTGTAATACTCATCCTGTCTTTACCTTTGACAGATTGTGGGTATGGCTGTCAGACTTATCTGGTGCGGCTGTTGACTTATTTGCCTGGAACCACTATTTCCAAGGCTCCTTTAACACCAGAGTTACTGTATGAAACCGGCAAGACGGCTGCCAGAATGGACACAATCCTACAAAAGGTATAATAGTAACACCCCTGTGAAACTAATAGATCATTTACTCTATTTTGTAATACCTCCAGATCTGTTTTAATCATGCTACGTCGATGTCACCCATGTTTGCATTATTTTGAATATAATTCAGATAATGTATATTATAAAGGACTAGCCTTTCATTTCTTCTTAGCAGACTTTTTTCTTAAGTTAACAGCTGATAAAAACGGTTTACTTGTCCTCCTTTTTACTTAAAATTGTACTTTTTTTTTTTCTCTGTATTATTATTGTTTTTTTCCCCAGTTGGAGCACCCTTATCTTAGCATGCTGGAGAGAGAGAAGTTCATATGGAGTCTGTCATGTGTTCACCTCCTGGAAACATACATTCATGTATTAGATGGAGATCCTCTTCAGGACGTTGTGAAGTCCGTCATTCATCAGTACAAGACCTGTGTGGTCCCCAAACGCTCCAGTTTCCGCAAGTGTGAGTATGATATTTACTCATTAGATTATCATCTGGATCCTCTTTTTGAAGACTGCCCTGTATTACATTCATACTATTTAACAAGCACAAGGACACAGCGGTGGCTTTTCATTGGTATGTTGGACACTATCAACGGAGACTGTGATTGAATACACAAGTAGTCATGTAATTTAGTTCCCATAAACAACTACAATTTCTTTCTTTCTTTTCTAAGGCATTAACCATGGCGACTTCAATGACCTGAATGTGCTGGTGCAACCTGATGAGAGTGAGAGCTACAGGATTTCTGGCATCCTTGACTTTGGGGACATGAACAGTGGCTATTACATCAATGAGCTAGCCATCACCATCATGTACATGATGACGGAGCACCCTAAACCTGTAGAGGTGGGTGGACCCATCCTCGCTGGCTGGGAGAGTATCCTTCCCCTCAACGAGGCAGAGAAAGATTGTCTCTATGTGCTGGTGCTGTCCCGCTTCTGCCAGTCATTTGTTTTAGCTCGTCATGCCGTTTCCCTGCATCCAGAAAATGCAGAGTATCTGATGATCTCAACCAGGAAGGGCGTAAACATCCTTCATCATCTCTGGAAGCTTGGAAAGGAGCAGGTGGAGAATATATGGTTTCAGAGCGCTGCTCAGTTTAGTGACAGAAAGTGAGAACTGTATAAAGAAAGCCATTCACAAATTTTATCAGGGTGATTCCGCTGAGCCTTTTGTCCAGATCAAGTATAATTTTAATTTCATTACTTTAAATAATGCACATTTTACTCTTGAGATTCAAAAATATTGAAGTACGAATGCTGCAGTGTGTCTGAATCAGAGAAAGGTTGAGTGGCAAAAAACTGTATGCAAGAAGAGGTCATGATACTCAATAACAATGGATCCTCCAGTGTAAAAGCAAAAAAGTTATTAAAATAACTAACTAACTTTGGCAAATGCTGTACAGTGAGTAGTTTCTTAAGCAACCATATTTGACCAATCATTATATTTAAGAAACTGGATCATGTTTAATAAGTGCCTAAAGTCATCAGGGTTTATACACTTTAATGGACTTGTGTACCTTGGTAATTGTCTGTATTCATGCATTACACTACTCTGAAATCACTCCTTAATTACTGCAGAGTGCATTATATTTACTGCCATTTTATTTGAGTGTCCATATTCTGTAATTGTATGCTCTATACTGTACAGTGCTCTCAATGCAATGGTCTACATTTTATAGATTCAAAAATGAACACTACAGGTTTCAGGTTGTGGTCCTCATGGAATACATGGGTGCCTTGTATCAAATTGTCCTTTCTTCTGTATGTTTGTACAGTGCAGTAGGCTACAGTGTTTCCTCTGTGACGGATCTTATGCTGACAAGCGAATATCATGTCGTTTGCCAAGCAAAAATGCATTTAATGTTCAGGTCACATGTCAGCTAAATTGCAATAATGTCTTGCTGTACGGATTGATGTGCATACAAGACTTTGGTGCAGTATGTCTCTGTTTCAGTGGGAAATCTAGCTCAACTTCCAGAATGTGTTTTTAATGCTGAATACTTTTATACTGTGATCTCAATGAAGAAAATAACTCCTCCTTAAAGAGTCTGGTAAATTTTTTTTCAATATGTATGCTTGTATGAGTGTGATGGTGAGAAATATTTGTAGTAAAAC